TTTTTTTTTTTTTATTAATAAATTATTTTATTTTATAAAAATAATTAGAATGACCAAGAAACGACACGACAAGAATTTTATACATATTATAGATTACGTTCAAGTCAAAATATAATAAAATGTTTTGGTATAATGTCATTACCAAATCAAAACTTATCATTAATATTTGAATATGCATCTAAAGGCAATTTACATGATCATCTAAAATCTTCTTCATTAACTTGGGAAGAAAAATTTAAATTATTAAATGAAATATTATTAGGATTAGATTATTGTCATGAAAAACATATTTTACACTTAAATTTAAAATTATCAAATATATTAGTGACGGATGATGGTATAATTAAATTAACCGATTTTGCAGTCAAAGGAGGAGTAAATAAAAAAGATGATGGTGAAAAAAAAAGTTTTAAAAAAGATTCTTTATGTTGGCTGGCTCCAGAAAGAATTTGTAAAGATGAAAATATTAATTCATGGCTTGTAAAGTAAGTATTTAATTATTTTTTTTTTTTTTGCGTTTTCTATTCAAGCGTGTACAAATAAAATAACAATTGATTTTTTTTTTAGAAATCCATATTTGTCTGATATTTATTCTTGTGGACTTATTCTTTGGAGTGGTGAGTTTTATTTCGTTTCAATTTTTTTTTTTTTTTTCAAGGAAATCTAAAATCTCAAAAATTTTAACTTGTAGTCGTATGTGACGGAATGATTCCATATGAGAATTTGGAAAGTGAGAATATAGAGAAAGAAAAATCTAATGTTAATACTATTCAAGATTTAAATGAAAAACTTCCAAAAGATTGTCCTAAAAATTATATTAAGGTTTTTAATAATTTAACCAAATATAATCCTGAAGAACGATGTACACTTTCAACAGCTGTTACAGATTTACAATCAACATGTGATGAAGTAGATGAAATAAAGGAATCTTTGAATTCTGAGCAAATTATGGTTGAATCACAATTAAAAATTAATCAACAACCACAGGAAAAAACAGAACAAGAAAATATTCAACAAAAAAATTTAGATTTCAAAAAAAAGAACGAAGAAATAATAAATCAACCACGTAATTCTGTTTCATTTCCAGATCTTAAAAATTCTGCTATTGAAGCGTTAACTGAACAAGAAAGGAAGGAAAGGAGGTATAGTTCAGCAGAATTAATTGGAGATAACAATTCAAAATCGTTTAGGAGAAGTGGAGTTAGCTTTTATGAACATCCCATTAATGTAAATTCAAGATTAATAAATACTAGTTTCTTTCGATCAACACCATCACCATCACCGTCTTCTAAAATATCGGCAGCACCTAGTGTACTTACAACTACACAACAAAGTACGATAAGTGTAACTTCTCAAATTAATTTCATTGAGGAATTATTTGAATTCTATCAATCACAGGTTAGAATAGATTTAAATAGTTTTCCAAAACAACTACAATATTGGCTAAAATCAAAACAATTAGATCCCACGTCATTATTCGATTCAGTTAAAAATGTTCCATCTCAAAAATTTTATGAATCATTACTTGGTATACTATATGAGAACGGTATAGGAACGTTACAAGATAAAATATTGGCTTTTCATTGTTATACAATGGGTAAAGATAATAATGATCCAATATCAAAAGCTTTACTGGCTAATGCTCATCTCATTGGTTGTGGTACAAAAAAGAGTGTCAAACAAGCTTATATGCTGTTGAAAAAATATTCCAACGAAGGGAATATTTGGTGTCAATTTATGTTAGCAGAATATTATTATAATAATACTATCTCGATTAATTGTTTCGGTAAGAAGAACTTGATGTTAAGAGATACTAGTAAAGAAGCGTTTATGTGGTATATGAAATCTGCTCAAGGTGGTTATATTAATGCTGAATATAAAATTGGTGATTGTTATAAAAAAGGTTTTGGAGCTATTAAAAGTAATCTTGCCGCTTTTCAATGGTATTTAAAAGCCGCTATAAATGGGTTAATGATCGCACAATATAAGGTAGCAAAATGTTATCAAAATGGAGGTTATGATGGTGGAATTGGTGAAAAAAATGAAAAGACTGATGAAGATGAAGCATTTAAATGGTATTTAAGAGCTGCTTCGAATAGGTATGAAAAAGCAATGAAAATTGTTGCTGAAGGATATGAAAATGGGTATCATATTGATAAAGATTTAGGCGAAGCGAAAAGGTGGTATGAACAGGCCTTGCTATTAGGATTAGATTGGGCTTATACAAAATTAAGACAATGGTGTGATCAAGATATTATCGTAAGTAAAATAAAATTAATTTTAATGCGATACTTTCATATACATATATATTGATACGTTAATTTTTTTTCTTTTAGAAAAGTAATGATCCACTGTATTATGAGATTATGTTGAGATAATTTATTAGCTAGTTTCATTATTGGTCTATGTTATTAAATGCAAGGAAAACATATAACGAACGCTTGTAAGTCCATCCTTCGCTATTAGTAGCAGATTTAAAGACTTTATTTGATGGGATCTCACTATAATTGGTTGGATGGTTTGTTCAATCTTTTACAAAGTTTTATTTTTTGACGAATTAAATCATATTAGTCATATTAAAATCAATCAAATGGGTCGATTTTTGACTTTCAGAGATTTGATTTCGATTCTATTCTGACTTGTGGATTTGATATCCATGAATTGCATCAGCAAGTATTAATTGACAGTTGTCAGTGACGACTGGACATTATTAATGAAAACTGTAATTTGTTATATATTTATTAATTAAAAAATTAAATAAAGCCAAAAAAAACATATATATAAATAAATATACATTTAGTTTGTACTGCACATGTAATTTCTACAATTGATAACCATTTTTAGGGGGAAATTTTCTCCATTTTTATCAGGATTACAAATTATTTTTCATAGATGAGTTGAAAGGGTATGGTGTATTATAAAATGTGTTGTTAGTGTCGGAGGAAATGTTGTTTGAGGACAATATGTGGCTTAAGATTAGAATTGGTTTCTACAGTTTAATAAAAAGTTATCTAAACTTGGTATAACATAAAATCTTACAACAAATGAATTATTTTCTTTAATATCGAGACTTTTCCGCCTATAGTGCCAATTCCACAAATTATTACGATAAGCCATTCTTCTACAGGCGCAGTAAGGTATAGATATGACATTTGCTTTATTTAAGTTTCTGCTTAGATAATTTGTGTCACCATTAACCCACTTAAATTTTTTTTTTTTACGATTACCTACTCTTTTTAGCTTATATGATATATTCACAAACAAATAAATAATTAAATTGGTTAGATTGATGAATTCAACAAATATAATTAGATAATGTTATATAAATAAACAAACATCAGATTACTGATTAACCTTAATATTCGCTCGATCAAAAAATAAACATTATCACGTGAAATTACAATGAGGTAGATTGATACGCGCTCAATGATCGACATTTTCTCTTTTTACTGTTTTTCTGTTTACGATCGTATTGTTTTTTTTAAGAACATTAAAAAAAAATGTCAAGTATGGAAGATATTGAATATTCGAATGATCAAATTGATTACATTAAATGGTTAGAGAATTCAATAGATAATAGTTATTTAGATTATTATAAATATTCTGAATTTAAAAATATAAAAAAAATAGGAAATGGTGCATTTGGAAGTATTTATAGTGCCAATTGGAAAAATACTGATACAATTTTAGTTTTAAAATCTTTTGATAATAATAATCAAAGAACTGCTATTAAAGGAGTTGTTAATGAGGTAAGAAAATTATATTATTATCATTTCATATAGTAATAATAAAAATCAATAAAAAGATTGAATATTTTTTTTTTTTAGCTGATATTACATCGGAAAGCTCATTTTCATGAAAATATATTAAAATTCTATGGAGTCACAAAAGAAGCAACTTGTAAGAATCAGAGAGAGAATAGCGTATTGATTTTTTTTTTATTAAAATATGTTTCTTTATTTAATTATTTCTTTTATTTTCTTCAGGCGAAACGAACAATTACGCTTTGGTTTTGGAATATGCCGATAGTGGTACGTTAAATGCCTATCTAGATAAACATTTTAATGAACTTACATGGGGGGATAAAATTTGTTTGGCATTACAATTAGCAAGTGCTGTATATTGCTTGCATGAAAATGATATTATTCACCGTGATCTGGTAATATTTTATCATTTATTACATCTGATTTATTTAACAATAAAAATCCTAAACTATTTATTATAATTTTTTAACGCGATATTATAGCATGCAAATAATATACTCATACATCAAAAAAATATTAAAGTGGCAGACTTTGGTTTATCAAGAAAAATTGTTGAAGCGTCAAATAATGCATCGAAAATAGTGGGTGTAATGGCTTATATAGATCCAAAAAAACTTAATAATAAAGATTACAAATTAGATAAAAAGTCCGATGTATATAGCGTCGGTGTTATCATGTGGCAAATTTCAAGTGGATATCGACCATTTTTTTCTAAAGATGATTTTACCTGTGATGATGTAAGTTTTCTCTTATCCGTAATAAGTGGTAGACGAGGTGAAATTATTAATGGTACCCCTATTGAGTATAGCAATTTATATACAAGTAAGTTATATTAACATAACGCTTAACAAAAATTATAAATAATATAAACATATTTATTTATTTATTTATTTTTTATCAGGATGTTGGAAATATGAACCAAATGAACGTCCTCATATGGAAGAACTTGTTTCGACTCTTAAATCATTAAAAAATAATTATTTTAACGAAAGAAAAGAAGATAATTCTTCAATAAAAAATAATTATAATTTAGAAGTGTTAAGCAAAAGAACAACAGATTTGAATTATTCTTCACAATATAAAAGTGGGTCTAATATGCAAATATTTAATTGGCATCAAATAGAAGCTGGAGATGGGAATAAAACTTCTCAATATAGAATGGGTGTATGTTATGAAATTGGGGATGGTGTTAAAAAGGACGAAGTTAAAGCATTTGAATGGTATAAGAAATCAGCTGAACAAGGGTATAGTGACGCGCAAAATGATTTAGGATGTTGTTATGAAGATAGTATAGGCACGAAAAAAAATTTAGTAAAAGCAGTTTATTGGTATCAAAAAGCGGCAGAAAATGGGAATGAAGTTGCGCAACATAATTTAGGTAGATGTTACAAATATGGAATAGGCGTTGAAAAAGATGAGACTAAAGCGCTTGAATGGTATAATAAATCAGCTAAACAAGATCATAGTAATGCACAAAATGATTTAGGGTTTTATTACGAAAGTATAGAAAAAGATTTAGAAAAGGCTTTTTATTGGTATCAAAAAGCAGCGGAAAATGGGAATAAATCTGCACAATATAATTTGGGTAGATGGTATAAATGTGGAATAGGCGTTAATAAAGATAAAATTAAAGCGTTTGAATGGTATAAGAAATCAGCCGAACAAGGGTATGGTGATGCACAAAATGATTTAGGATTTTGTTATGAAAGTGGTATAGGGGTAGAAAAGGATTTAGGAAAAGCAATATATTGGTATCAACTAGCGGTAGAAATTGGAAATAAATTTGCACAATATAATTTAAGTAGATTATATAAACATGGAGATGGAGTTAGTAAAGATGAAGTTAAAGCGTTTGAACTATATGAAAAATCAGCTGAACAAGGATATACTGATGCACAAAGTTCTTTAGGATCATGTTATGAAGATGGTATTGGTACAGAGATAAATTTAGTAAATGCAGTTTATTGGTATAACAAGGCAGCGGAAAAAGGAAATAAATTTGCATTATACAAATTAGGTAAATGTTATAAATATGGAAAAGGTATTGAAAAAAATGAAGTTAAAGCGTTTGAATTATATAAAAAATCAGCTGAACAAGGCCATAATGGAGCACAAAATGAACTTGGATTTTGTTACAAAAATGGTATAGGCACAAATATTGATTTAGAAAAAGCGATTTATTGGTATCAGAAGGCAGCAGAAAATGTAAATAGAATCGCATAATTTGGGTAAATTTTTTTATTAGATAAATTTAATCTTATACTTTGTAAATAAAATTGAAAAACATTTTTAAATTTTTTTTTAAAAGTAATTTGTATTTAATTTTGTAATACACATCATGTTATCCATTTAATATTAGCTATTACATAATTTTTAATATTTATGATTATTATTTCTAATACTTTTTAGATATTGAAAGGAATATATAATTTAAATAGAGCTGTAATTAATAGGTTATTTTAAGCCACAATGTTTTAATAAAATCACTCGTTTTACAAAGCATTAAGTAATAAACTTAAATTTAAAATCTCAAATGATTTGATTTGATTTGGATTTTGACCTATTCTATGTTCTGTTAATTAATAGTGAATTGAAAAATTATTTACTAACTATCTACAAAGTTGATTATAGCTTATTAAAATCGTCTTAATTAGAAATATAAAACCGAGATAATTTTATCATTTATACTAAAAGAACGCGTCAATTTAACGTTAAAATGTAAATGCTGAAAATATAATGTTAGACAATTGATTATATCTGTATTTTTAATAATATGAACAGTATACAAATTACCCAATTATCATATAAAAGATGATATTATTTATTATATTTGTCTATGAATTAAAATTGATTCAATCAATAGACATCAAACTTGACTCTGAATCAGCGTCAAAATGATTAAGCATTTAAGTGACATTGGAAATTACTTTAAAACTAAATTGGTTATGATTTAAAATTGATTTAATTTACCATATTCATTTATTTCAATTTCGTTAATTAATAGATAGGCTTGTAAGTAAAATATTTTTATTATATTAATTAGTTGTTTCAATTGTAGCCAACTAACGAAAAAAGAAATTAATTTCAGTTGTTTATATTTCATGTAAAAGGCTCATATTTCCTGAAGAATATTCTTACATATCTTCCATTTGTTCCATAGATGAACCAAACCTAATGTTGATAAATTGTGCAAGAGAAACTACCCTAGCGTTACCCCAAAAAAAAAGCACTGGTGGCCGTCATTATGCAGAATTATGCACAGTCACGAGAACAGTGCGGTGACATATAATGTGTGACAAATAAAAAGAATAAAAACTAAGTCCCTCAGATAAATACCCTAGCCATGGCGAAAAAAAGTGACTGACACGTGACTTTTAGCCCGCATTACGGTGGTATGCACTAACACGTGAAAATAACCGGTGAAGAATAAGGGGTGACGAATAAGTTTTTACCTACTTGAAAAAAACAAGTCCCTCAGATAAATATAAAAAGTGGAAACGCGGTAGATGTGACGGTTGTGATGAATAAAATGCAGTCACGTGTCAGTCACTTTTTTTTCGCCATGGCTAGGGTTGTAAATATAAACAATGAAAACACTGAGGGTGTGACGGATGTGATGATTTTTTATACGGTCACGTGACCAGTGATTTTTTTGGGTAATGCTAGGCTAGATTGCAAGAGAGGATGACCCAGATGTCATTTTCGACTATGACTATACTTGTGAAGATGATGAAATTTGTGTAGATCGTACTGAATTTCCAGAGACTCCACATACTTTTTATATTAAAAAAAATGTAATGTGCCATTCGATAATTTTAACCATCCTGATATCTAAGGCTGTGGATCATATAGTTACAGTGTTCCTGCACCAGTGAATTTAATAGTTGCAATGATCGTAAATTTTCTGGGGCATCGAGTCGTATATTTACGCTGATCATTCTGATCAGTTTGTTTAACATAAAAACTAATTTTGATTTGTTGATCGCCATTGATTTCTAATTTTGGGGGACGTCTAAAGTGGAGCAGAGTCACGTGATACGCCATGTATTTGCACCGCCACACGGCTGTTTATTTATTTATTTTTTTTTAAAAAAAATTTTTTTATCAGGCTCTTTCTTTCTTTTAAGCCTTAGGATTTACAAATCATGTAAACCTTTTCCTTCGTCCTTTTGTTCGTTTTATGAATAGCATCGTACTATTTTCATATTAAGTTCACGTATTTCAAAAAAAATATTGTAAATATTTTTTTTTTTGTTTTTTTTGTAAGTTTTTTTTATTTAGTCCTTTTTCTTTTTACTAATATTAAACTTATAAATTAATAGTTAAGTTAAACATTTTTTCCATCTTTTTTGTTATCATGTCTGTTTCTTCGATTAATACTTCTGCTACCACTTTGGTTGCCGCGCAAATGACAAATATCACTTCAGAAGAAAAGCGGAATCTCCTTTTTGATGTAAATTGCTCTTTGGAAGTTCAAATAGAGGATTTCAATGAAAATTGGTGGCCATTAGTTTCAAATATATGGACACAATGGACTTCATATAAACAAGTAAATGGAAACTTTTGGAAGATCTTTACTTGCCATTTTACAAAGCATCGAGACTCTAGTACACGACAAAAAGAAAATATTTCTAATGAAAAATGCTAAATAACGAAGACAAGACCATCTGGATTATGTCATGCTAAAATTAAAGTTGAATGGTTAGTCTCGTTGAAAATAGTTAAAGTTGGACGTTATAAAGACTCTTCCAACTATACACACTCATTGTTAGATGTTGATAGGCTTAAACGTCCTCAAGTTATTCGAACTTTAGTGGAAAAAGAAGCTGTCAAAAATTATTTGCCTCTGGCAATTACTGCTGCCGTTAAAGAATATGCAACGATTGAATTAGGTCTTGGTGCAAGTGCACAAGAATTGAAGCGCAAGAAAGTAACAAACATTAAGTATAAAGTTCGTGGACCTATGGAAGTTCATCTCATTGGCAATTCTGATTTAAAGTTTGATATTTCACAATCAGTATCGTATTTAAAAGAGCAAGGATATCAAGTTGAAATTTATCGTGTCCACCAACGATCTACTAAGGGCATTGTTTTTGCACATCCCGAGCAACTTGAGAAACTTGAGAATCATGGATGGTTGACTCTAATTGATTCCACCCATAAAACAAATAGATATGATTGGCGTCTATTTACACTGTACGTTTGCGACACTTACGGATGCTGGAATATAGGTGTGCACTTTTTTGTGAGCAGTGAGGATAGTGACACTGTTGCAGAAGCTTTAAAAAAAATTCGCAGCTATTGCCGTTGGACTCCCCGCTACATCCTATCTGATCAAAGTAGTGTTGAGTTTAAAAGTGTTAAAATTGTTTTTCCTGGTGTAAACGCCGGTGAGCAAGAGTGCGAAGTATTACTTTGTGTTGTACATATTATGCGGACGTGAATGTCAAAAATTCATGAAAAAAAAACCCGTGATGTTATGATCGCAGCAATGCATAAAAGGACAAAGATCGGTTGCGAAAAACTGATTCAAGAAGCTATTAACAACTGTCCTGTTCCTACTATTCAGAATTATATTAGAAGGAATTACATGAGAAATACACAACAATGGGCATTGTGGGCGTGCCAACATTTCCCTTTGCTTTTGCAAGTCACCTCCACAAATCCGTTAGAATCTTACCACAGTGAATTGAAAAGGAAAACATCGTCCTTACATGGTTTAATTGGTAAAATTCTACTTTTTTGTTGTTTTTTCCACCCTTCCGCCTCTTATTTTGATGCTTGAATCTATAAAATTTGCAATTTTTTTTCTTCTTTTCCATATTAAAGGTAATTACATAATAACACGAATTTTCTATGTAACGTTTGCTTATTAACTCACTCAGACACTCACTTTTTGTTTATTCATTCATCTTAGGTGCCGTCCATAATATCGTTGCCATTGATTGTAAAAAACAATCTGATTCCAAAAGTGCCGCCTTCGACTTTCGTGTCAAAAAAGTATCAGCTTATGGTGTAGAAAAGGATATTATCGAGGAGATTCACAAATTCCCCTTACCATTTCAACATCTACTTATTAAAGAGGCCTGTGCCGTAATGGATAGATTGGAGAAAGGTAAAGGTGCACCGGGTTTGACTTCACTTGATTGTCACTGTTTGTTTCGCAATTGATACTTGTTACCGTGCAAACATATTTTTCACGAACATATGTATGGAGACGTGAAATTATTAACTACTGATGTATGGAGAATGTTTCAGAAAATATTTGAGGAGAGCGGGTTTGAAGTATATGAACATCGTGAATTAGTGATAGAGTTTGTACAAACAGAACAACAAAAAAAAGCCTAAAGTTGGAAATTTACTGTGTTCGAATTGACTGAAAGAGTCCGCGATAGATACTGGAGTGTTGAATAGGGGGGTAATGCTGAGAGAACAGAGGCTTTTATTTCTATATTAGAAGCCTCTTTAAATCCTATTATCATACAATTTAAATAATTATAATAAAATATTCGTGAAAATTTGGTGGTTTATTTTTTTGAAATTTGATTTTTTTCGTTTTTTTCATGGTATTTTTTGTTTTTTTTCATGGTATTTTTTGNTTAAAAAAAAAAAATTTTTTTCATGGAAAAATTTTTTTGACATCGTGGCTTGTGGCTTGTAATAATTGGTTAAGTCACGTGACTCTGCTCCGCTTTAGACGACCTCTAATTTTGTCAATCATTCATGATTAATTTATCAATTTTAAGGATTGACATATTCAACAAGTATGAAGCCAATACAAGTAGATTATGTGATCCCATTTCTGTTAATAAGGTGAACAATTCCACTAGATAATAGTTATTGGTTGGGGGGTAAAATATCGGTCACCCCGAAGGGATGACACGATATTTTATCCACCATAACCAATAACTAGATTATTGCGTCAGTCACGCAAGATCATGCTATTATTATAGTAAGAGTATATAAAAAGTATAATTAAACTGCAAATATATTTGATATTTAGCCAATAAAAGAAAAATATCAATTATTTAGCCATCAACAAAAAATATCAGTCCGTCAAAATCTGCATGATCCTATTAGACTGACCAATAATAGTTATTAATGGTTATAATGGGGAAAATATCAATTTCTGTTTTAATGGAGACACCACAGAAAAAGTCCAAGCTTTCGCTGCTGCTTGGATATCTGACTGATTTATTTAAAAGCTAATGACATGTAGTTTTTATGAATTAACTAGCCAGTAATTTTTTATTCCAGATAGACCTAAAAAAAGATGACGAAAAAAAAACAAGATAAACAACACTCAACTCACACCCAAACCCACCCACCCAAACTCACACTCACAACCACACCCAAACCCACATCATACCTAAAAAAAGACGTAAAGAAAAGAGGCCTAAGAGAAGACTTCCTGACGTTTTTGAATGGTCAAAAAAGTGCATCAAGACCTAAAAAAAAAGAAGACAAAAAAAAACAAAGATTTTAAAACAACAAACCCAACCCATACCCAAACCCAACCCACGCAAACTCACACTCCCAACCCACACTCCCAACCCACACTCCCAACCCACACTCCCAACTCACACCCAAACCCACACCCAAACCAACCCACACCCAAACCCACACCATACCTAAAAAGATGACGAAGAAAAGAGGCCTAAGAGAAGAATTCCTGACATTTTTGAATGGTACGGGAGTTCTCAGCAACAACGAAAGAGTGCACCACAATTAGATCTAAAAAAAAGAAGACGAAAAAAAACAAAGATTTTAAAACAACACACCCAACCCACACCCAAACCCACACTCCCAACCCAAACACCCACATCACGCAAACCCACACTCCTAACCCACACCCAAACCCACACACAAACCCACGTACCTCACACTCCCAACCAATACCCAAACCCACGCAAACCCACACTCCCAACCCACATACCTAAAGAAAGATGTAAAGAAAAGAGGCCTAAGAGAAGACTTCCTAACGCTTTTGAATGGTACGGGAGTTCTCAGCAACAACGAAAGCGTGCATCACAATTAAACCTAAAAAAAAGAAGACGAAAAAAAAAGAAAATAGTCCTAAAAAAAGATGATGAAAAAAAAAGAAGATAAAACACCACCTACACACAAACCCACACTCAAACCCACACTTCCATCCCACATACCTAAAGGAAGACGTAAAGAAAAGGGGCGAAGACCTAGATAGAGAGAAGACAGACCTAAAAGAGGACGATGATAAAAGGAAGACAAGTAGTAAAAAGAGAAGACGGAAAATAAAAAAAAAGAAGAAAAAAGAAGTCGAAAAAAAAGATAAAAAGATGGTGAAAAAATGAAAACGTTAAAAGGTAAGCTATTTATATTATTTGAAATTACTCATGGCGAAACCCATATCATGACATCAAGATTATGTGTTACATGTCATAAGGAATTATTATTTGCAATTTTTTTCGTGTAAGTATTTTTTATTCATATGACCGATATGAGTAATTAAAGTCCGAAGTATTATTGTACATTGTCATGTGCCGGAGATGTACCAATTGTCCCAGCTTCCCTTTTTTTTCATTAATGGTTTACACAAAAATTATACTATTTTTATAATAAAATAAAAATAAAAAAGCGGCGCAAATTTTTTCAGTAATCCTCTGTCGCACTAAGTGTCACTCATGATTGCCTTCATACTAATTTTTGAGTTTAATCACGTTAATTTAATGACACGCTCCAGGGGATTGATTACCCATTTATTTCCTGAGAAGGGAAACCCTATTATTTCCGAAATAAATAATACTAATTAGATGAAAACGATATTAGTATTTACACCGATTGTTAACATAAATTTCAGTTCATCAAAATTCAAAATCAGCATTGCGGTGCATGTTTCAGTTGTATCATGGATTCCAAAATTGCGTAACAGTGATTCAACTTTTAATATAAATACTCTCATGCAGACCTTATTAATCATTTCTTTCGCATAAATTTTTACTGATAAACTAATTTTTTTACTTTTTTATACTATTTTACCTATTAGTATTTATTGATTTTATATATAAATAAATATTTATATTTTGACATACTATATCCTATTTTTACTATATTTTTATTATAAAGAATTAATAAAATAAATTAGTCGCACGAAAATCCCTAATATATAACAAAAAAGCTAAGCAAAAAAACAAACTTAATTTTTAATAAATCATATGAAATTTCCCGCATATCCCTAAACCCCTATAGAGAAAACCTAAGCTCAACTACCCGGAAAATGCCCCTACATAAATCTATATTTAAAGCTACAAATCCGAACCGTTCGACGCAACAGAAAAATTCGAGAAATAAGAGGTCCTAACGGGACCTTGAATCGAAGCTCTATGCATCCATTCCTTTTCAGCGGATGGAGATGCTGCGGCAAAGATGACGTGCGAGAAAAAGAGACAGGAGGAGAAGAAGATGGTGAGGACTGAGAGAATGGAAAAGTCTATGATTTATTATATTAAATGTCAACACATTGACAGTTTTCATTTCTGTTTCATACTGTAGTTAAATAAAGCTTCCGCAAGTGTCACGAGTAGTAAACAATCAAAATGCGTCGGAAAAAGTATGGCTCAAAAAAAAAAAAAAAATAGTCGTATCCTTTTTAGTAACTTACAAAGTATAAAAAAATTTCATTCAAAAAAAAAAAAAAGTTCGTCCAAAAATTCTGAATAAATTTCAGAGGATCAAAAATTGTTCGTATTGAAATAAACCTTTAATTGCCGATCCACGAATGAATCGGACCTAGTGATCGGCAAAATCAAATCTCCACTTCCAAAAAAAGTAAAGTCGGTCAATTTTTAGCCAAACCAATTAAATTTTTTTTTTAAAAAAAACTTAGAGATTAAATCTATTTTGTAAAAATATAAATTTAAGTATTTCAAAACTCAAAATTTTGCAAATTGCTTTTAAATATCATCAATTAGCGAAATTTTAGTAAAAATTATTTATCATTTTTTTTCTAATAAAAGTACTAGCAAGAAGTCTCAAAATTCACACATATATACTTTGGACATATATTAATAGAATATTAAAAAAAAATGATATAATAAATGTAAAAATATTTCCTATTTTAAGGTTAACTAACAATAATCCATTTTCCCATTTTTAATGCCTATATGAAACTTTTATAAATCAATCTTTAGGAATTTAAAAATGGTAATTTTATCTTAAAATATTAGTTCTAAACATATTTAAAGCATTTATTTTCAAATTATTAAGTGAAAAAAATTTTCGGTTTTGTGTCGATGGTTACACAAATTACGATTTGAAGAAATTTAAAGTTTATTGGTGAAAGTTTGACTTTTTTAAGAGTTATTTTTGATACTTTGATAAAATAAAGCAAATGTCAAAGTTTTTTCATTAAAAATTTCAATTTATTCGATTAAAAATTGGTGGATATTCCTATATTGGAAATGCAGATTTAAGGGGTGGTCCGATTGGTACATGGATTACGAATTAAGTGAAAAATTATGATGTAAAGAACGTGACCCTATAGAATAATGGAGGATGAACCAGTGGAAATCCTGATAAGTTTATAAAAGATACAATGTATAATGTAAGAGATAGTAGATAAATTCATGTTTATAAATTTCTTGAATAGGTATAAAAGAAATTGTTCGCAAAAATGTATTCTGCAACGTGAAATCAAAAAATGATGGAAATTGGAAAAAAAGAGCCTGAGCACATAACCGTTGCTTTGAAAAGGTTAAATGGATCACAGAATATAACAGAAAAATAGAAAAATATTTAAATGAAGTACGTATTTATATTATTCTGTAAGAATAGCTGGAATTATTTATTTAATTTGTTATTGCAAATTGCAAATATAGCTTAAACCCTATAAGAAATCTGTAGGAAATGATACGTTTTGTACTTTTGATATACGTTTTTTTAGAGATTCCGAATAAAAATTCCGTGTATTTAATAAGTTTTTAAAAAATTTACTATAAGAAATCTATATATGGAAATGGTACGTTTTTCATATTTTTATTAGTCCGAAGTGTAATTCTACACAAGGTGATACAAAGAATGTCCGTCATATTGAAATTCGGTGAGGGATTTTTTCTTTAAATTATTCATTATTTCTTTTTTAAAATATTTGACATTTCTTAACTTTTCTTATAGATTCAGGTTCAGAATACCAGAATGCGTTTCACAAACTTAAATATCATTTTATGTACGAGTTGTGGAATTCGTATGATGAGCATGCAAATGAGTTTGATTATATGTAGTTAATTAGATATTATTACTAATGTACTTACTGTATTAATGTACTGTATGTATAATCATTATTATTAAATGTGTTTACTGACACGTCAGTATACACATTTTTAACAATCAATATACGCATTTTTATACATTGTTATACGTGTTTTTAAACGACGCCAAAGTAGCGTTGATTGACATAAGATTCGTTACTCTACATTTTTTGGTATATTTATTAATAATTTATACGCCTATGCAAATTACCATTGCATACGTAATTTTATAAAAAAATTTATTTTTTTAAAAATTATATTAAAAATTATAAAATAATTATAAAAAAAAAGTCTGACCCTCCCAATCAGACACAATTGGACAAAAAGAATAAAAAATTATAAAAAATATAAAAAATATAGTCTGTCCCCAATCAGACACGTCCAACCCCAATTGGACAAAAATAAAAATAAAAAAAAATTATTTTTAAAACCATGGCTCCTTTCTAGCGTTAAATTTACAAGTTTTCACTTGGTAAGATTTGCTGGACCAGCATTTAACACAGTGACCTTTAGGGATTTTATCGCGGTAAGCTACCCAGTGGAAACCGTTACAATAGATGCAAGTTAAGTTTCCTACAGTATTTTTATGTTTAAATTAAAAATAAATTATTATTAGATAATTTATAAACTTAAATTTTATATTAAATTGATAAATACCAGATTGTGATGATGAGACGTTGGGGTGTGCGGTCAACTGATTAAATCAAAACTATATGTGGTCACACTGATTTTCAACATTTTTGGCAAAAATTTGATCGATATTATAGCTTTATAATACTATATATAAATTAACTATAAAAAAATAAGCTATTTTTTTTAGATGCCCAGTTCGAATTTCTTTCTTTCTCCAAATTTTTTAAATATAAATCAGTTTTTCCATACCAAAGCTACAAAGTTACGACATTTTTATTTACATCAACCAGCCAGTTAAAAGAAGATACCAATTTAAATCTTAAAACTGAAAAAAATTTCCAAACAATTATATCAGATGTAAGTTTTTCATATCAAATGTAAGAAATAGTCTCGTAACCTTGTTTGTATGGCTTTAATATTGATTTTTACAAAATTTCGCCTTAAAATATTGAGCCGTTAGAGCTGTGCATCTAATTAAAGTTTGGAAAATAGCAATGGGTATATACAAGTCATATAAACGTGAATTACTATTGCATAACAATGATTTTCTTGAGGAGTTTGAACAATTCTGTAGTTACAAAGATCCAAAGTTATATAGATTTCCTAATCTTTATGATTTCGTTAAAAGCTATATTTATTTCATTGTTATTCATCAACAGCAAGTGGAAGGTCTTTTTAACAAATTGGACTTAAAGACGCACCCAAATATGTCACCATCGGTAAAACAATCAAAGCTTCGTCTATCATCAGACAAAATCACAAAAGAAAACTTGACTGATGGGTTAAAAGAAATGCGAAAACAAAGAACTAAACAAAGGACTCCACTTCAAGAAGTTCAATTTGGTTCTAATATTGTGTCAACACTTTTTAAACAGTTTATTGAATAATTATAATAAAATAATTGTTAAATTGTTAATATAAGTGTATATGACTGAAAGGTATAAAAAGTATAATAATTAACTATACAATACTATTATTGTTTATTTGTTTATTAATAAAAAAAAATTTTATATGCAAAAAATCTTCAATAATAAATTTTTATATGGTACCATATATAGTTTTGATTTGATTAATTGACCGCACACCCTAATGAGACGTGGTGAGGATAAGCGTGATGAGACATGCGACCAGACATTCGAGCGTGACGGGATATTTGATGTGGTTGTATCCGCTACTTCCTTTGCAGCTTCTTTGATTTTCATTGTTAAAAATCTTCATTTTCTTCAACTTCTTCATGATCTGAAT